TGGCGCTGTAGCTCAAGTGGTAGAGCGCTAGCCTTGAGCTGAAGAGCTGAGGGACAGCGCCCAGGCCCAGAGTTCAAGCCCCACAACCGACCAAAAAAAAAAAAAAAATGTACTGTTTATGACATATAATCATAACCCCTCTGCCCATCACCTTAACAGTAACAATAAAACATTCATTAAAAAAAGAACAAAAAACAGGGCTGGGAAGGTGGTAGAATGCATGAGGCCTTGTGTTAAATTCCTCAGCACCACATAAGCAGAAAAAGCTGGACGTGGTGCTGTGGCTCAAGTGGTAGAGTGCTAACCTTGAGCTGAAGAGCTGAGGGACAGTGGCCTAGGCACAGAGTTCAGGTCCCACAACCGACAAAACAAGCAAGCAAACAAACAAAAAAACAATAAAACTTGACCAGATGCTAGTGACTCATGCCTGTAATCCTAGCTACTCAAGAGGCTGAGATTTGAGGATTACCTTTCAAAACCAGCCCAAGGAAAAAAGTCTGAGATTCTTATTTCCAATAAACCACCAAAAAAATGGCACAAAGTGGTAGAGCACTAGCCTTCAGCAAAATGGAGCTCAGGAACAGTTCTCAGGCCCTGAGTTCAAGCACAGCAGCCAACAACAACAACACAACAAGAAGGCACAAGAGGCATGAAGCACTGGATTCAATTCTCAAGGGGGAAGGGAGGAGAGAGATACACATGCCAAAACATTAGTATCTTGCTAGTATAGTCTTCCAAATATTTAAGATGAAATATGCAGATGAAAAAAGACAGAAAAAATGAAAGGTGAATGAGAACACTGATACGACAAAGTGGATCATAAACACCTGAAAGATGAAAATGAGTGATGGGTTCCTCATGGGGGTCCTTATTCCCTTGCATATGTTTGAGCTTCTCTATAATTAAAAGGAAAGAAAATAAGAAGGAAAAGAATACCCTACAAAATGTGTTGTGTTAAAAGATGAAAATTTTTAAAAACATTTCCTAAATAGATTTTTCTATAAGCATGGAGAGACAATGAAGTTCAGTATTGTTGCTTAGAAAGCATTTAAACACCTTTTGTTGCCAAAAATAACTGCAATGAAAACATTTAAAGAACTTACTTGGTGTAAAAGCAAATCTGTGCTTGCATAATTCACAGTATTCTTTCCGACTATGTTTCAGCCACTGAACTAAGCTGTAATTACAGATACATTAATAAACATTGGGTTTACAACAAACAAAAGGTTTCATTGAAAATTGGTTTATATTCAAATCATATAGATTACAGCTTTTATAATTGTAACCATTTCACCTTTAGAATATTCTCCAATCTTTTATAACTTCCTTCTAAAGAGTACAGAATTTACAACAGCTAAAGACATAAGCAGTATTACTACAGCATTAGGAAGAATCCAATTAGTATAAATTATAATCTCTTCAGAGCTAAATGAATATTGAAGAACACAAACATCAATATCAGTTTAATACTGGTCCGATGATACTAAGACCATGTGACTGGGTCTGCTGACAGGCAGGTTTGGTTGTCACTAACTGGTGGGCTACTGGGCTTTGAGCAAGTTATTTTAACCTAGTTTTTTCATCAACATAATAGTCCACCACCCAGGTTTCTTTGAAAAGTTAGTTAAAAGATGTGTAACGAGCTGAGAATATGGGCTGGGAAGGTGGCTAAGTGGTAGAGCACTTGCCTTGCATGCATGAGGCCCTGGGTTTGATTCCTCAGCACCACATAAGCAAAAAGAAAAAAAAGCCCGAAGTGGCACTGTGGCTCAAGTGGTAGAGTACTAGCCTTGAGCTGAATTGCTGAGAGACAGCTCCCAGGCCCAGAGTTCAGGCCCCACGACCAGACCCCCCCAAAAAAAAGAGCTGAGACTAATTCTTGGCCCAGAGTACACCCTAAACATGAGCTGCTACCATACCACTCAAAACTAGAAAAGTACAGTGTTTCCCATGAGCAAAGAAATGAACAAAAACAAACTCAAAATCTACCAAAGTAACAAGTATTAAGGATTATGGGTAATTTCCACTGTTTTTTTTTTTTTTTCCCCCGTCAGTTGAAAGGCTTGAACTCTGGACCTGGGTGTTGTCCCTTAGCTCTTCAACTCAAGGTGAGTACTCTACCACTTGAGCCACAGCCCTACTTCTGGTTCTCTGGTAGTTAATTGGAGCTAGGAGTCTCACAGACCTGCCCAGGCTGGCTTTGAACTGTGAGCCTCAGATCTCAGCCTCCTGAGTAGCTAGGATTATAGGCATGAGCCACCAGTGCCTGGCTTTTTTTCTTTTTTACAGAAACTTCAAAAGCAATTAATTATAGAGCAAGTTCTTTTAAAATGATCATTACTGTTGTATAGATGACAAAAATGAAGCTCAAAATTATAAAATTTTCAAACTACAGGACTTACCATTCCTGATGGATAAACTTAATACTGCCAGTACATACACAAGGATGATAAAGAGGTTTTTCAGGTGTTCCTTCTGATCGACACACCCTACATATGTCTGTTAATAAAACAGAAAAAATGAATTACCTTTGGTTATAACTTTTATAAAAAAATAGACCACAAAAAAGAAAATATGTTGTGTTAAAGTAACAATATGTCACTTGGAAAAACATTAATCACAGCACAGAGAACTAAAAATTGTGATGAAAATAATATATACCTGAAACTAAAAGTTTCCTTTAAAAACATTAAAACATAAATTGTTGCTTAACACCTCTGTAAACCTAAAGCTAAAACATTCTATTTAAAACTGTGCTCACCTATAACAAATACCAAAACAAATCAGGTTACTCTTAAGTGTCCTCAACCACAGTCCTAATAGTTTAAAATCCTCACTAAATCTAATCCTAACAGAACAAGCTCCATAAAAACACACTTGAGGCACAGTGGATGTCCCTTTCTACAAGAACAAGGGACAGGAATAATCTCCTAATCTCTCTCTTAATATTCTCTTCCCCCTCAGATGTGAGGGATACCCAATACACAGAAACTCCAACCAGAGAATGAATGGTCAGCCAGAAGCTGCTTTGAGTAGATGCTACAGGAACCTAAGGATCTTGAGATCCAGAGCATGGCAGCTCCCATGCCCACCCCCAGCAACAAGTAGCAGTAGGGACACATCTACCTGCCTGCCTTCCCACCTGGGGTAGACATCAACAGCCAGCAGAGTAGCACAGGGAGGAAAGCAACTGATCTGTCATGCTTGTTCACTTGCTTATTTCCTCCTGAGCGCACCTTCCTGTGCAAGATGACATCTCAGCTAGCCTTCAGAGCCGAATTCTAACCCCAAGAGGACAATTCCAGGTGTAACAGGCATGTACACAGGGGTAAGAGACATGAAGTTCACTTTGACCTACTCTTAAGAACTCCTTATTTACTGAGGAAGAATTACAATCTAAATTTCTTTTGTAGACAGATGTAATACCCTTTTGGGATTTGCGTGTGCAGTATGTGATCCTGGATGCTTATCATCATTACAAGTCTGTGATGCTCAGTCTTGGTTCAGTTGTTGTTATTCAGAATACCACATAACACTCCCACACCTCCCGCCACCCCCAAAAAATTTTTGGGTGCTGGTGCTTGAACTCTGGGTCTGGGTGTTGTCCCTGAGTTTTTGGACAGTGCTATACTACTTGAACCGCAGCTTTCTTTCCCGGCTGGCTTTGAACTGCAACACCTATATATAAGCCTCCTGAGGAGCTAGGATTACAGGCATGAACTTACCAGTACCAGGCATCCTAAAGATTTTGACTTTCTAGAAGTAGCTGGTGGGCATAGATAAGCTGCCCTCCTTTATGGTGAGATCTACGTGGGATCCTAACATCTGTAAACTTCTCACCTTCATCCTTGATTAATGAAAACATCTTTAGCAAAACTTTCCCTTTGGTTAGTCTCATGAAGTGCTCTAGTGGTGCACATACCAGTGAGCTGCTTGCTTAATCAGATGCAAAATTCCAACACAAACAAAATAGAACTGAGTTCCCATTCCACAATTCTAAGTATCTAGGCAGCCCACTACACTTTGGATGCTCCATTTCCTCCAAGTATGCATTTCAGTACCAAGGAAATTCAATCTCAGAACCTAGAGGACCTTCGGTGCAGAACTCCCTGATGGGCCACCCTTTACTGTGCTTGAGACTCAAGCATAAGTGTTCTTAGCTTTAGTGAATTCAAATGTAAGACACTGAAAATGAAGCTACCTGAGGTACCAACACCAGATTTGCCTTGCAACTCAATCCCCCAAATACAGCACCTTGGAAGAATCTAGTTTTATCACTGCCCTTTTGGATTGGGAAAGCTGCATGCTCCCTGCTCCCTCTGTGGAACTGCAACAAAATCCCCATCACCTAGATTCCAGATTGGGGCCATGATGCTGTGCAACTGATCTAAATTATCTAGAATTGTGGGTCATCATGCTGTGCAACTGATTTAAGTAATCTAGAATTACCAAAGCCATTGGGCACTGTGGATATGGATTAGCCCTAGAATTATCAGTTATCCAGGTTGGAGCCAAATGATGCCCAAAGCCATCACCCAGAGTACTAAGATGCCCAGAGAATAACTTTTGAGTGGCACGTACCAGTATAAAATCAACTCATTAGGCAGGAGCGGTGTAAGTACAGGTAAGCCAGTACCAGAGGAGGAATCCTCTCTAGCATGCCCCATGAGACATGGTACTGAGGAAGGAAGTGGGGACTAGGCTCACATGAATGAGGGTTACTGATAAGCTATCAACTGAGTACTGGGGAAGGAAAAAGATAGCAGTTGGCACACCACTGCCACTCAGGAGGCAAGGTCAACAGAAGGCAAGATAACCATGTGGACATTGCTGCTTGGACTCTTGGTAAGTTCACTCTACAATGAAGACCCTTGCAAAGCCACCCAGCTCTGTGTGACCAGTGAAGGCTGAGGTGAGACCAAGGCCGTGGCAAACTCCAGGAGTGATCATCTTCAAAAGGTACTACTTACTCCAAACAATGGCTGGTAGGCAAGTGGCTGACAAGAAATCAGGTGGAGAAGAGATTTACTTAGAAGATACACCTAGAATCAGGCAAGACAGTAATTTCCAAAAAGACCCTCATCCTTCTGAATGACAAACTACAAATACAACATTAAGCAAATACAGCAAACCTAAAATCAAGTACCAGGCTCTGCTTAAAACAATGGTACAGAGAACTTGGATCCCAGAGATTGGAGTCTCTTGCACAGTCAGGGCCGAGTACTGGTGGCTCACACCCATAATCCTACTCAGGAGGCTGAGAGCTGAGGATCACAGTTCAAAGCCAGCCCAGGCAGGAAAGTCCGTGAGATTCTTACCTCCAATTAGCCACCAGAAAACTGAAAGTGGCGCTGTGGCTCAAGTGGTAGAGCACTCACCTTGAGTTGAAGAGTGCAGGGACAGCGCCCAGGCCGAGTTCAAGCCCCACAACCAACCAAAAAAAAAAAAAAAAGACTGCACAGTCAAAATTATTCTGAGTAATAATAATATATCTTTTTTACTCATTGTCTTACAAATTTACAATGGCATTTTCTTTTTTTCCAGTTGTGGGGCCTGAACTCTGTCCCTCAGCTCTTCAGCTGTCGACTAGCGCTCTACCACTTGAGCCTCAGTCCCACTTCTGGCTTTTTCTGCTTATGTAGTGCTGAAGAATCAAACCCAGGGCTTCATGCATGCAAGGCAAGTGCTCTACCATTGAGCCACCTTCTCAGCCCCCAAAATGGCATTTTCTACATAATATGTGAGGCAATGGATTGAATGCATCCATATAAAAAATTTCACCTGCTTGCCGTTAAACCAAATATAAAACAAATAACCAATTTTGGAAAATATGCTTTTATGAAAATGTAAATGGTCAGGGCTGGGAAGGTGGCTCAGTGGTAGAACGCTTGCCTTGCATGCATGAGGCCCTGGGTTCGATTCCTCAGCACCACATAAGCAAAAAGAAAAAAGCCGGAAGTGGTGCTGTGGCTCAAGTGGTACAGCGCTAGCCTTGAGCTGAAGAGCTGAGGGACAGCGCCCAGGCCCAGCGTTCAAGCCCCGCGACCGGACCCAAAAGAAAAAAAGAAAAGAAAAGAAAAAGAAAATGTAAATAGTATGTTATTGTAAGTAAATTTAAAATTCTTGCTGGATGCCAGTGGCTCAAGCCTGTAATCCTATCTACCCAGGAGGCTGAGATCTGTATGAAACCAATCACCAATTTTGGAAAATATGCTTTTATGAAAATGTAAATGGTATGTTATTGTAAGTAAATTTAAAATTCTTGCCGGTGGCTCATGCCTGTAATCCTACCTACCCAGGAGGCTGAGATCTGAGTATTACTTTTTGCCAGCCTGGGCAGAAAGTCCGTTGGGACTCTTATCTCCAATTAACCATCAGAAAATGTTAAGTGGTGCTGTGGCTCAAGCGGAAGAGCACTTGCCTTGAGCTGAAGAGCTGAGGGGCAGTGTCTAGGCCCAAGAGTTCAAGCCCTACAACTGACAAAAATAAATAATTTTAAAAATTAAAATTCTTAATATAAGATAATGTTAAGCAAAATATATTTTGTAATTTGGGGAGGGGAGGGGAGATTGCAGAATGCTTAAATAAACATGAAGGCTGACTCATTGTGATGACGAGATGTACAGGACACTATAGGGTGGGAGGAGTTGGGGATGTGGGGAGGGAAGTTATAGTAGGGGAAAAATAAAGGAGGAGGTAACAATGCTCACTATGAAATGTACTCATTACCTACTCATGTAACTGTAACCCCTCTGTACAACATTTTTACAATAAAAATATTAATTAAAAAAATTAAAATTCTTAGCTGGGCATCAGTGACTTACACTTATAATTCTAGCTATTCACAAGGCTGAAATCTGAGGACCACAGTTCAAAGCCAGCCTGGGCAAAAAAGTCCTTGAGACTCTTACAGTTAAGCACCCTTAAAAAAAAGCCTAAGTTTGGCTGGGAATGTGGCTTAGTGGTAGAGTGCTTGCCTAGCATGCATGAAGCCCTGGGTTTGATTCCTCAGTACTACATAAACAAAAACAGCCAAAAGTGGTGCTGAAGAAGATCAGGAACAGTGCCTAAGCCTTGAGGTTCAAGTCCCTGGATGGGCAAAAAAAAAACAAACAACCAAAACCTGGAAGTAGAGCTATGACATGACTTAAATAGTATAGTATTAGGCTTGAGTACAAAAGCTCAGGAACAGCACCCAGGCCATGAGTTCAAGCCCCAGGAGCCCACGCACGTGCGCACACAGACACACACACACACGCCCACGCACATACATAGACACACACACACACACAATCTTCCACCAGGCACTAGTGGCTCACGCCTGTAATACTACCTGCTCAGGAGGCTGAAATCTGAGGATTGCGGTTCAAACCCATCCCAGGCAGCAAAGTCCATGAGACCCTTATCTCCAATTAACCACAAAAAAGCTGTAATTGGACCTGTGGCTCAGTGCTAGCCTTCAGCAGAAAATCTCAGGGACAGCACCCAGACCCTGAGTT